TAACAGTGTCATCTCTAGTCCCCAGTCAGAACTCTCGAGTCCTCACCTGGACCGGATCAGGAGTAATTCGCGGGACGCAGGTGCAAGTTTCAGGGTGTGGACTGGAGACCAGCGGGCTGATGGCTGCCTAAAGTCAGCTGTCACACCTGGGACTGTGCAGCTTCTGGTGCTGTGAAGCGGCTCTCTCCTACAGGGAGATTTATACCGTCTACGTTTTCAGTGGCTTACTACGCCTACCAAGAGATGCAAATGACATCGCTAACATAAAACGGCTCATGTAATTTTTAAACATTTTTATTTGTTTGTTTGTTTAAGACAGGGTTTCTCTGTGTAACTTTGGAGCCTGTCCTGGAACTTGCTCTGTAGTCCAGGCTGGACTTGAACTCACAGATATTCACTTGTCTCTGCCTCCCAGAGTGCTGGGATTAATGGCGTGTGTCAGCAACACCTGGCTAAACATTTTTCTTTTTTTTTTTTCTTTTTTTTTTTTAATTTTTATTTTTTTTGGTTTTTCGAGGCAGGGTTTCTATGTGGTTTTGGAGCCTGTCCTGGAACTAGCTCTTGTAGACCAGGCTGGTCTCGAACTCACAGAGATCCGCCTGCCTCTGCCTCCCAAGTGCTGGGATTAAAGGCGTGCGCCACCATCGCCCGGCAACATTTTTCTTTTTTACTAGTGTTATGTACCTGTGTATGAGTGTACAGGTGTACGCGTGCCACAGAGCAAATATGCCAGAAGACAGTTTTCTTTTTCTTTCTTTTTCTCTGTCTTTTTATTTTTTTTTTAATTTTTTTTATTTTTCGAGACAGGGTTTCTCCGTAGCTTTTGGTTCCTGTCCTGGAACTAGCTCTTGTAGACCAGGCTGGCCTCAAACTCACAGAGATTCGCCCGCCTCTGCCTCCTGAGTGCTGGGATTAAAGGCGTGTGCCACCACCGCCCGGCTTCTCTGTGTTTTTTTTAAGACAAGTTCTGTGTAACCTTGTCTGTCCTGGAACTCCTGTAGGCCAGTCTGGGTTTGAACTCACCCAGCCAGAGGCCAGCGCTTTCAGGCCTCACATTCCCTTTCTCCCCCAGCTTCCAGGGCTAGGAGCAGCTTGTCAGGTTTCAAAGGCAAGCACTTCTACCTGTTGAAACATCTCCCCACTCCTATTTTTTTATTCCAAGATCACATTTCCCCCATTTCTGAAAAGTCAACATTCAGCAGATATTTCAGTAACAGTGGCTTGAAAGGCTGCCAACTTAGGAATGTGCCCAGGGTGGCACAAAACTAGTTGTTTTTTACCTAGCAGCTCAGACTCACTGTTAACAACTCCTCAGCCAATTAGGGATCTGAGCTGCCAGTGGGCTGGTTGACATCTGGGGACAGGCTTGGTTGTGCCCACAGGTGGCCTTCATTGCTATGCCTTGGCTTCCTTGGTTTGTTTGAGAGGCTAACGGCACTGACTCTTGAGGTAGTACTGAAGAATTTCACTAGCCTGTCGCTGGAAACAGAATGAAGGAGAGGCAGGGAGGGGCTCAGGAGGGCACTTTACATTGCTGGGTGCACTAAAGTTCTTAACAAGCTAGGGCAACGAGGAAGACCGGGGGCTGCTGTGGGGAGGAGGAGCCCAACAGAGGAGAGGATGCCTAGGTGCCAGCAGGCTCGGAGGTTCTTCGGGTCTGACCAGGCAGCCTCAGCTCCAGCCCGTCCTCTGGCCCCTCCCCACTGCCGGCCAGAGTCGCACATGTGTTTTCCTGTTTTCCATTTTGGTCCGTCACCCTCTGCTCTTTCTGCTTCTCAGAGTCAGCAGCTGCTGAAGTCACACCCCTGATTCTCTTAACTGCACCCCCTCACCCTAGTGTGCTGATAGCCCCCTCCTCCCTGCACTTGCTCAAAGGTCTCCAGACAGGTAAGAGGCGGGGAAGCAGGGAAAGAGAATGTGTGGGAAGCCCAGGAGGAGGATGGAGTACCTGAACATTGCCCAAGGAGAGACTTATTTCTTGGCCCCTAGCCCTGGCCCTGTCTAGGTAGAGCCTTCTGCCGCGAGACTTCAGCTTTTGGTTAATGGGAAGTCCTGGGCAGAACAGTAAACAGTTTCTTTATTTAATTCATTTTTTTTTAAAGGGACGGTCTTAGTTAAGTGGGATATAGAAAAACAAATGGAGGAGCTGGAGAGGGAGGGGCTGAGCAGCTATTGTGGAGGGATGAGGACTCTAACCAGCACCAGCCTGTATCTGTTTTGTTTCTGTTAAGGGAGGCACAGGGACGAACCCGTTGGATAGCAGTAAGCAAGCCCTGGGGTCTCAGGCAGAAAGTGTATTCTTACCATAGCTCATAGAGCGTGGTGGTTGAGGAGTCAAGACTCTGAACTGCGGGCAGGTTCCTGGAGGAGAGGAAGAGTATTCTAGTGTTGCTGTTGGAGCCTAGAGCGTGGTCGTTCAACACTGGCTGGCTGCTCTGGGAGGCACTTCATGCCCGGTATCCACTTGCGAATGAAAACTTCTCTAGGCTATAGAATGAGCGTATTTTTTTTTTTTTCTGATAGCTATGATGTCCTCAGAGATGAGCACACCAAAGGACAGGGAAAATGACAACCTGTTTTGGCTGAGCTCTTATAAGGAGAGCCTCTGGGAATGCTGCTTTACCGGGCTGCCCGAATGGGGCAAGCATTACTCTGAGAGCCAGGGTCTCAGGGAAGAAAGTGAGCTGCCAGCCCTGGTGACTTCTCGTCTTTGGTGTTAGGCAGTGGTTGAGAAAAGCGGGGAGGTTTCCATGAATGGCAGCCTCTTGTGCCTGCCTGACTGGCAGGCTGGGAAGATGAATCCATTTGTAGTACTTCCTGGAGAGACCACTAGGGCATGCTGTTTGCTGGGGTGCAGGTTCTGTCCTGGGCTGACCTGGCTCAGCTCCTTGAGGATTTCACTTTTATGCCAGCCATGAACTCAGGCTCGGACTCCCCCCCCCCCCCCCCATACACTTCCTTTCCTCCTTTCTTCTTTTCTGAATTCATTATTATTATTATCATTATTATTAATTACTATTATTATCATCATTATCATAGACTTGGGTTTATACTCCATTGTTGCCCGTGTATTTGATCCTAAAAGGCTGTGTGTTTCTCTGTTTTTAGTAGTGGGCACCCTAGATGTCACATCACTCCCCAAATGATCAAGACAGGAGCAGCCCGAAGGCAATGGCATGCTTTCTTTCCCCCACACTGCCGCCTAAGACTGTAGGGGCTTTCTTTTCAGTCTGATCGCAGACTTCTCTAGGTAACTCATTAGGGGGCCCCCTGGAGTGGTTTCCTGTGACCAGCGACCAGCAGGGCCCACAGCTGGAAGCTGAGAAGATAGCATAGCTCTGTGATCTTTGCTGCCTCCCCTCTGCTTTGGCACCCCACAGAGTGTATGGTCCCTGCCTTATGGGGGTGCATACAGTTCAGTGAGATGATGCCCTGAAACACGCAGCAGCATGTCTGATCTGGGCAAGAACTCAAGCAATGCTAGCACTGTTTTTCTGGAAAGCATAAAAAGCATTGAGGGATGCTGGGAGAAAAGGAGAGTCTTCTGGGTGAATTTCAGACATATGCGGGGCTGTCTTGTGAGAAACATGAGCTTTAAATATTTTTAAATTTTATTTTTTCATATATGGGTATTTTGATTGCATATGTCTGGGTACCATGAGTGCACAGTGCTCACGGAGCCAGAAGAAGGCATCAGAGCTAGAACTGAGTTGCGAGCCACTATATGGGTGCTGGGAATTGAAGACTGGTCTTCTCAAGAAGGGCCAGTGTTCTTAGCTGCTGAGCCATCTCTCCATCCTCCAGCATGGTCTGTGGAAGGCCTACGCTCAGCATTCCCTCTTGGTTTATCTAAAAGTTTTAACAGGCCGGAATGGGAAGGTGTGCCGTAGAGATAATTAACCTTCAGGATATTTTTGTAGAATAATCAAAAAAGGGGTAGGAGGATAGAAGAAGGGACAGACAGTTCGGTGTCTAAAAAGACTCAATACCATATTTAAAGTAGATTCTAAAGACAGAATAAACTGTGGTCTTCAAAATGCGGAACCTGTTCTGTTGATCCTGGGCCTGCCTAGCGTAGCTCATGAAACCTTATTTGCACACTTGTGTGTGTGGGTAGGTTAGCACTCTACCACTGAGTGACATTTCAGCCCTCCGTAGATATCTATACACTCATTGATTCCTTTATTGTTTGTTATTATTATTGAGACAGGGTTTCCCTGCACAGCCTTGATTGTCCTGAAACTCACTCTGTAGACCAGGCGTCCTTTGAACTCAGAGATTTGCCTCCCAAGTGTTGGGATTAAAGGCATGCACCATCACCACCTCTCATAGAAATTTTTGGATGTTCCAGAGGTTTCCCTAAGGATGAAAGAGCTCACTGGTGGGATGGAGTTGTACCCAGAAGTTTGATCTCATTTCTGAATCTTATTTCTTTGGAAATAGCTTGAGGCACAAGCTGTCATCCAGGGGAATGGCTTGAGCTTAGAGGTTGTTGCCCTTCTCCCCTCATGGGGAAGTGTACAGAACTCTCTCTTAGGACGCCCACACAGGGCGTCTGAGCCGCTCTCACACTTCCTGTAATCTCGGCATATGAACAATGGGTAGCATTCTATAGCCCTTCCTGCCTTTTTTGTTTGGGGTGAGAGAGAAGTGAGGTTTGGGTGGGATGTGGAGAACCTGGAGGTCTGTGCCACCGCTCTCCCCTTGCTGACTTGCTGGACACTCCAGGATTGCAGAGAACACACCCAGTTGGCTGTCCCTTCCCTCTGGGCCTCCTGTCCTGGGGCAGAGCTGACAAAGGAGACTCCTGAGCGAGCACCTTCTTATCACAGAAAGTGCTGAGCCAAGAGCTCCAAGCTGCCCCTTTTGCAGATGTGAAAGGGCCTGTGAACCTTGGACCCAGATGGTTGCTTAACACTCCTCTCCCTTTCCCTCACCCCTTCCTTTTCTAGCTCCCTCACCTCCTCCTCCCTTCTTGACCTGACTTAAATCCAGGAGGCATTTGTCTAGGCTTCCCTTTGACTGCTGGAGGAAGGAGGAGCAGGCCAGACTACTGTTCTTGGAGGGTGCACACCTTTTTGTCTGCTGCTGACCATTGCTGTGGGAACCCACTTCTATCCAGAGCCAGGGAGTGAGTGTGCCCCACCCTGTCCCCTTGCTAACCCCTTTCTGCTGTTCTGCGTGTCCCGTCACTTCCTCAAGCTCCAGCGTCTCTTGCTCTAGTGTTTCCCCATTTGTCTGACTAAGCTTTCCTAGTTTGTGCAGCTGTCTCTAGCTCTGTGTTTCCAGGCATCTGCTGCCCGGCCTTACCTCTTTTCCTTGGTTTTGGCTGGTATGTCTCCAGCAGTTCTGTGGTGGGTGGGCGGCCACCACCCACTGCCTCCAGTCACCGCTGGGTCCTGCTGTGTATTTGGGCCACTCTTCTGAAAGGTCGTTCCTACTTTTTGGCTGGTGTGGATGTGAGCAATTCGGTGGCAGGAACCTGGGATAGTAGAGGCTGGGACAGGTATCTGGGAAAGGAAAAGGAACATAAAGAGAATTGCCCGTCTTTTTTCTGGATGGGTGGGGCTGCTTGGGCTTTGCCAACATCGAAGATGCCAGCTGACCATTTGCTAATGGATGTTCCCAAGTAGGGAGGTGACTGTGCGTCCCTTTGAAGGAGTCAGGGGAGCTAGCAGCCTATCAGCAAAAAGAGGATCCAGCAAATTAGTCTCTTGCAGGGCTGGTTCCTCATGCAGACGTCTATCTCAGCATAGTGACATTTGAAACTGAAATCGGAGGGAAGACAGACTTCTTTGGGGGTGGTGGGAGTGGGGAGGCAGAGAAAGGTTCAAACCACTGTCGTTATACGGAGAGCTACTCAACTGCCTCCTGCCTGGCCCGTGTCACAAGGGACTGAGAGACCGGGATGCTTTTCTTCTGGGGGAAAAGTCCAGTTGGGGTCATTTTTACAAGGCTTGAGGGAAGTCGGAAGTGAGAAAGGTCTCTGAATTGGTGGGTGCTGACCCTGCGGCGTGGGAGGGAGAGATGCTGTGCGGTTGCCAACCCTGCCTTCTTTCTTTCTTAGAGGGCAATGCAAGCAAGCTGGTGAAGGCCTTCCTCCTCTCCACCATGGTCGACACTACCAAGTATGAAGCGGCTGCCCAGCACGAGGCAGATTCCTCTGCTCTGGAAGATGGGGCCAGCCCAGTGGCCGAGCAGGTAAAGCTGAAGAAGGAGATCTCACTACTTAACGGCGTGTCCCTGATAGTGGGGAACATGATTGGCTCCGGCATCTTTGTCTCCCCCAAGGGTGTACTCATGTACAGTGCCTCTTTTGGCCTCTCGTTGGTCATCTGGGCCGTTGGGGGCATTTTCTCCGTCTTTGGGGCCCTTTGTTATGCCGAACTGGGTACCACCATTAAGAAATCTGGAGCCAGTTACGCTTATATCCTGGAGGCCTTCGGAGGATTTCTTGCCTTCATCCGCCTCTGGACTTCTCTGCTCATCATTGAACCCACCAGCCAGGCCGTCATTGCCATCACCTTTGCAAACTACATGGTGCAGCCCCTCTTCCCGAGCTGTGCTGCTCCCTATGCTGCTGCCCGCCTGCTGGCTGCTGCCTGTATCTGTAAGTAGAAATGGGGCAGGAATGGGGATGTGGAGGACTGGGCAGAAGTGGAGGTGTGAGCCCAATCAAGAAGAAGGAGTTGGGGGATGAATGCCCATGACAATTATTTTAATTGTAAAAATTAATGTATACTGTGGGGGTCTAGCTAAATAAGCCCTCAAAGGGAGGCTCTGAATTCAACAACCAGTACTACCCCTAAAAAGTTTTGTGTGAAAATTCAGTTCATCTTAGTTTAAGGGTTGGTGAGGTAGCCCAGTCAATACAGAGCCTGCCTCGTGTGCCTGCGGCTGTGGTTTTGATCCCCTGCACTGTGTAAACTGTGTGTGGCGGAACCAGAAGCCCCACCACCTGGGAGACAGAGGCCTCTAGTGAGTCAGGAGTTCAAGGTCATTTCTTAGCGAGTTTGAGGCCAGTCTTGCAGACTAGACACCCTGTCTCAAAAAGCAAACAAACTGTTTTTTTTATGATGGAGCATACCTTTAATTCCAGAAGGCAGCGAGATATCGTTCTAAGGCCAGCTTGGCCTACACAGTGAAACCCTATCTTAAACAAACAAGCAAAAAGTTTAATATAGTATTAAAAAGTAAAGGAAGAGCTGGGTGGTGGTGCACACCCTTAATCCCAGCACTTGGAAAGCAGAGGCAGGCCGATCTCGTTGAATTCCAGGTCAATCCGGTCTACCGAGCTAATTCCCGGACAGTCAGTCAAAGTTACACAAAGAAATCCTGTCTCAGAAACAAAACAAACCTCCTCAACAAAACAAAACAACCTCCTCAACACCCCCACCCGAAAACCCAACCAACTAACCAAGCAAGCAAGCAAGCAAGCAAACAAACAAACAAAAAACAAAAAAGAAGAAAGCAGCCCACCTCTCCTTTCCCTAATTCTGATTGCTTGTCGCAATTGTTTTTATGTGCTCCTGCTTGTTCCCCTTCAAGAACAGTTTTTTTTTTTTTTAATGAAGTGGGACAATACAATTGTACCTGTAATTCTTAGCCTTTATCAGATTACCTAGCTGCCAGTCCTGTTCCTGGCCTTGTACGCCAGTTCCAGTTTCTCGGATTTGCAGGTGGTCGTGGGTAATGGTGTACTGCAATAGTTACCCATTTAGTTTATGCACTTTTCCTTCCTCTCCTCCTACTCCTCTTTTCTGAGACAGGACGTTGCTGTGCAGCCCACATTGACCTTGAACTCACGTCACTCAGTCTGACCTGGAACTTAGGATCTTCACGGGTTGTAGGCCTGTGCCACTGTGCCTGCTTACGTGTGTATTGACACATAGTAGCTGTATGTATTATGGGATGCAGTGTGGCATCTTATGTTTTTGGCTATGAGCCTAGCCTTTAAGGGCTGAGGCATCTCCCCAGCCCCAGTTGTGACTTGTAGTCTGTGTGCACAGCATGGACGATCAGCCGGGTAGCTGGCATTTCTGCATCTCATCCTGTGTCATCACGCTCAGCTGTCCTGAAACATTCAGCAAACTGTTGTCAGCCGCCGTCTGACCGCTGTAGGACCTTAGAAGTTATTCATCTTCTCCAGTTCACCCTGTGCTGTCAGTCTTCCATCCCCTAGGTTCTGGGAATCCTCCTTCTCCTCTTATTTTTTTTCACCAATGTTCTATATCATTTTTATTTTTATTTTATTTTATTTTGTTTTTTTTGTTTTTTGAGACAGGGTGTCTCTGTAGCTTTGGTGCCTGTCCTGGAACTAGCTCTTGTAGACCAGGCTGGCATCGAACTCACAGAGATCCACCTGCCTCTGCCTCCCGAGTGCTAGGATTAAAGGCGTGTGCCACCACCGCCTGGCTTTATTTTTATTTTTTAAAGTTAAGACAGGGTCTCACGGTGTGGCCTTTTCTGGCTTGGAACTTGTTGTGTAGACTAGGCTGGCTCCAAACCTGTGTCTGTCTCCCAAGTTTCACTTATGTTCCAGATTGCTCTAGCTATTAAGCCTCCCTGCTGCCCAAGAATTTTATGATTTAAAAACAAAAGCTGTGTGCACAAGCAGAGCCCAGAGGGAGATGTCAGGTGTTCTGAGCTCTTCCCGTCTACTGTACTCCACTGAGATGCACCGAGACAGGGTGACTTTCTGAACCTGGATTGACACTGGTGGCCAGCAAGCCCCGTGATACTTCTGTGTCTGCCACCGACAGTGTGACCATGCCCAGATTTGTGTGTGGGTTCTGAAGGTTTGAACTCAGGCCTTTATTTCCCTACTGGTTGCGATTGTTTTTCTCCTGTGAGGAACGTCATTGTGTACTCTGCACTGACACTGTAGGTTGTTTGGGTAATACAGACATTTTAGTGCCGTTCTTCAATCCGTGAACATCTTTCTTTTTAAACAAGGCCCCTTAACGTAGCCCTATCTATGTGGGAACTCTTTGTAGACCAGGCTGGCCTCAAACTCACAGAGATCAACTTGCCTTTGTGCTCAAGTGCTAGGATCAAAGGACCAAGACCCCACCATGCCTGGCTCCCTTGTGTATGGTGTGTGTGTATTCTCTTTAGCTTTAAGTGTTGTTTTGTGACTTGCAGAAATCATGAATTTCCTTGTTTACATTTGTTTCAAGGACCTTATTTGTGGCAGCTGTTGTGAACGGGAGTGGGTCTTGATTTGTCTTCCAGCAATTTCAGTATTGGTGTATAAAAGAGCTAATTATTTTTAAAATGCTGGTTTTATAGTTTGCAACCTTACCGAACTTGTCAATTCCAACAGTTTTTGGCTGGAGTCCTGAGTTTTTCTATGTATGGCCTAGTGTCATGTGCAAACAGGCACAGCTTGACTTCCTCTACCCTGTTTCAGTGCTCCTCATTTCTTCACTTGCCTAACTTCTGTGACCTTACTTCTCACTCTGCACTCCGCGAGAGCCCGCAGGCATGGTGGTGCATGCCTGTAATCCCAGTCCTTGGCAGCGGTGGTGTGCAAGATCAGGAGTTCAAAGTCGTCCATGTTTTTGAGATAAGGTCTGACTACGTAGTTGAGCCTGGCCTCAGTTTGCTTTGTGCCCTAGCCTGCAAGCATCGTAATACGTGTATCTATTGTGTGTGTGTGTGTGTGTGGTGTTTGTGTGGTGTGTATGTGTGTATGTGGTGTGTGTGTGTGGTGTTTGTGTGTTCACCTTCACATGTGATGTGGGTGTGTCTGTGCCACAGTTTGTAAGTAGGGTCAGAGGACAAATCAGGTGTTGGTCTTTGCCATCTGCTTAAGGAAAATGTGTCTTTAAAAGTATGACTTTTCTGATAATTCCATACATTTATATAACACATTTGGGTCATTTTCGCTTTCTGCTGCCCTCTCTCCTCCCTGCCCACTCTTATGAACATCGTCTTTTTCTCAGCAAGTCTCCTTCCCACTTCACATTCTTTTTGTTTGTTTATTTGTGACCTGCCGAGTTTAACAAGGATTGCTTGCACGTGGGGAGTTATTTACTGTGCTTGGGCGAGACCACTGAAGAAAGTAACGAGCTCCTCCTCCTCCAGCAATTTTAGTGCCCAGTGGGACCCGAGTGGACTGACTCACCTTGAGCAGCTCCTGCCGGAGTTCAGGAGTGCAGTGACGTTTCACAGCCCCCACCGCCACCCTCCAGATTGTCCATTTTCCCCCACCCTCTCTCCTGAGACGTTCATTCAGCCTTGGCGCAGGTGACATAATGTCCTATTTGGGGCTGAGCACTCAGAGCCACTTGTCCTATGGACATTGACCAGCTGGGAGTCTGCTTTAATCATTGTCCAGAGCAAAAGAAGCTTCTCTGACCAAGGTTGAGAGCGGCACTAATCTACGCGTATGCATATTAATATTTAGAAGGCAGTTGGCTACCATGTCTGTTTAGCAACCCAGCAGTAGGTTTTCCCTAAGGCCTACGATCTCCTGTACCATAGGCTTTAGACAAGGGTTACAGTACCAGGCGCGAATTCCCTCCCACCCGGAAAGCCTCTCGGCCTCAAATCCAATCACACAGTGATTGGTTAAGCACACAACAGTCACATCCCCTGTTGTGCCAGAGGGGCAGCTTGCCTGGTAGGTGGGCTTTGTAGCAGGCACGTTTCTCCGCTGGGTGAGATCACTGAGGACTTTTTCTTCCCCAGCAGTGGATATGGCACCTTCTGGTGCTATGAAAACTACCCAGGGGTGAGGAAACTTGCAACTTTGTTCCAGCCCGGTGTCTCTCACTATGCAGGCCCAGCTGGCCTAAATAACATGTTCCCCTCCCCTACTGCCCCCCCCCCGTGTGTGTACACGTGTGTGTGTGTGTACATGTGTGTGCGCGCCCCCCACCCTGTGTGTGTGTACACGTGTGTGTGTGTGTGTGTGTGTGTGTACATGCGTGCCCCCCCCCCTGTGTGTGAGTCGGGGAATGTTGGAGGTCAGGGATAAACCTTGGGTTTCATTCTTCAGGAGCTATTTGCCTTTCTGTTTTTTTTAGCCTTATTTAATTTTATTTTGCGTGAATGACTGTCCTGTTCGCATATGCATATGTGTTCCATGAGCATGCCTGGTGCCGGAGGAGGCCAGAAGAAGGTGTCAGATTCCCTGCAACCGGAGTGACCGGCAGTTGTGAGCCATGTGGATACTGGGAGTGGAACTTGGGCCCTCTGAAACAGCAGCCAGTCTTAACCCCTGAGCCATCTCTCCTGCCCTTGTTTTATGAGATGGAAGCTTACCAGTTAGGTTAGGCTGGCTGGCCAGGGGGCTCCAGGTGCTATTTTCTCTCAGCTTTTCAGTGCAGGGACTACAAGTGTTTACCACCACAACCTCCTTTGCTTTTTTGTTCTTTTGGATGTTTTTATTTTTATGCGTATGAGTGTTTTGCTTGCACGTATATAAGTGCACCATGTGTGTTGTGCCCAATGAGGCCAGAAGGCAGAGTCAGATCCCCTGAAACTGGAGTTTAGGTGGTTGTAAACCACCTTGTGGGTGCTGGGACTGAATCTGGGTCTTCTCTGAGAGCAGCAAGTGCTCTCACAAATTGCTGAGCCATCTCTCCAGCCCCACGCCAGGTT